TGACTAATTAGGCTATCAACCTGACAGCTTGAGAACTTTTGGGGAAATCATGTGGCCCAGTATCCTCAGTGCAGAGTGGCTGCGATGAGAAGAGACAGATTTGTGGTCCGCATACATATTTTCTAAGCACTTTATCTTTTAGCCAGCTTGTTGCTCAGTTTACTTGGCTACAAAATAGTGTTATACAATTTCTGCAGAATTCTGGTACAAGTTATATTTAGAAGATAATCTAAATTATAAGGACAGATCAGACAACACTGTTTCTCAATTAAAGAATTTATTACAAAAATATACTCAAAATACTCCCCTCAAAATACTCCCCTCAAAATACTCCCCTCAAAATACTCCCACTTACTTTGAACACATCTAACCCCTCATTCTTGTCATTTTCTGAAGCAGTCCTGGAAGTTCCCTTTCATGTCTTTGTTGCGATCAAAAATTCGGTGAACGCCGCTGCCGACTGCCTTCCAAAGGAAAAGCAGGCTCGTAACAACGTTACGGTGCACCCTCATTTACCTTATTCTTCAGACCCGGCACCATGCTACTTCTGGCTCTCCATCAAAGTCAAAATAACCACAAGTGGTAAACATTTTGAATCAATTCAGGACACTGAGGCAGCCATGACAGTGCCATCAATGGCACTCATGAAAGAGGACTTCCAGAACTTCCTCTTTAGAAAATGGCAGGATGATGGGATGAGCGTGTTCAGGGTGAGGGGGTATCGGGTGGGGGATTAATGGTCATGTGGCTTTTACTGTAATGTACTTTTGAAAAAAACATAAACATTCACCATTTTTTCAAGTGTATTTTCAGTGACAGTCACACAGTCCAAGCTTCACAAAGAGTCGGTATTATTAGCTTTTTTTTTTTTTGATACCAGGGATCCAACTCAGGTCCTTATACTCGCGAAGCAGGCGGTAGCACCACTGAGCTAACCCCCTGGCCTTGTATTATTAGCTTTTATAAGTGAGCAAGCCCATGTACAAACTGTTGAGTTACCCAAGACACACAGTAAGATAACTTGTGAAATGAGCTATTTTTCATGATTCTCATCCGGATGTTTCCTTCCAAATCCAATGGCTATGCAGAACAAGACATACTGATGACATTGGCTAATTATATTGGTGGTGGAAATTTCACCTCATTTATCTTTCCTTTGCAGGGATCCCAGTGAGCAATGACGGGAATGTGTAAACGTCCAAAGGAGAAACCGGTGGATAAATTTTCAGGAGGTTGGCAGCCAGAACTGAACTGTGTGAGGGCCTAAATCCCAGCTATGGCGAGTGTACAGCGGAATTGGGACAAGGACACAGAACCCTTGTCCCTGAGATGTGTCCCCTTCATTTTCATCAGATCAGTTTGGGCCACGTGTGTTATATAAATGTGCACATATTTTAGTAAGTTCAGTTATTTTTAGAGATAGAACATTTTACATGCTGGATTCTTTGAACTAGTCATTGAGTAAATCAATGTGTTTCAGGGCCTCCTAAATAGCTGTACCTAAATATGTGACTCACCAATCCTCTCCCTATGTCTCTTTAGAGAGTTCACTTGTGGTGTGGGAGCTTTGGGTTTTAGTTGTGGTCTTTTAAAATTTTTGTTCCTCTGAATTTCTTGTTTTACCTGCAGGAGGCAGGGAGGTGGTGGTGGGGAGAAGACAGAAGGGAAGGCAGTGGATGTAACTTCCACAGGTCCTAGGGGCACATCCGCCTTTGTAAAGAGGTGGCTGTCAGCAGGAGCTGACAGACATTTTTCGCGGAGGTCCTCCTGAGAGTTGTGTGCAGACCCCGCTGCTTCAGGGCTTTCTCACTGGGGTGGGACCAGCACTGGGACCGCACAGTAGTGCAGCTGAGCCTCACGATGTCACCTGCAGTGGCTCGGAGGGAGGGAGAAGACTTTGAAATGTGTTCCTCTCAAACATATTTGAGAAACACTTAGAAATAATGGATATAATTTCGGAGGGGTGCTGCCGTCCTGATGGCGAGAGTGCATCAGCGGAGTTTGGGGGATGCGTGTTTAGGAGACTTCTGTGCCTCCCTTGGACTTCGCGCCATTAACCTTCACTGTCAAGTGGACTGGATTAGGAAATTCCTGGGGAGGTGATTCGATCCCATCGCAATCAAATGGGCTGTTAGGGCCTTGGAGAGGAAATGGGGCATGGGGGTGTGACTGGGGTCTGTATCTGGTCCCTGGCTCCTTTCTCTGACTCCAACCCACTCTGCTTCCCAGCCACCAGAAATGAACAGATTTCCCCTACCATCCCCTCTGCCATGATGTCTCTCTGCCTTGGAGCTGCCAGTCAAGGGAACCTTCTCTCACTGGAAGCTGAAACCAACCTCTCTGCCTCTAAGTTGCAGGTGTCAGGTATTTTGTCCCAGCAATGGAAAGCTGGCCGGTAAAGATTCTAAAGTGTAAAACAGATGTAATGTGATTGCAAGGGTATTTATTGTGAACTGTACTTTTATACCTATGCATCACTGATAAAAAGTAATCAAAGTTCCAATAAATGTAACCCACCAACGTCAGCAATCACGCGCTTTGACCCAAGGGTTGCTTTTTTTCTGCTATCAGAATTTAGTATTTTCTTCCCATTTCCCAATGTCTGCTGTACATTTCAGTCCTCATTTCTACTCTCAGTTTCTCACACCCATACCAGAATTTAACTTCATTTACCTGTGGTTGATGTGGCACTTGGCAAGTGGTATAGATAAATTTTTAAAGTGACTTATGCATGACTAACAATCAACAGTAAAAAATTGTCCATTGTGCAGGAGAACATAAGCAAAAAAAAAAAAAATGGATCATGCAAATGATGAGATCAACATTTATTGAGTACTTAAAAGGAACAAGGTTCTCTTTCACTCTCTCTCTTACACTCTTGCTCTTCCTCTTGCTCTCTCACTCTCTTTTTTAGTTTTTTTTGTCTGTTTGTTTGTTTAAACAGGGTCTCACTATGCAGTTTAGGCTGTCCTTGAACTTACTATCTAGCCCAAGCCGGCCTGGAACTCACAGTGGTCGTCTGGCCTCAGCCTTCTGAGTGAGGAATTACAGATGTGCACTATCACACCCAGCAAACAGACTCTCTTTAAAGCTCATAAGCCTTTAAAATGTATTATTATTATCTTCATTTTTTTGGTGATTAGAAAGAGGCACAGTGAAGAGAAGCAACTTGTTCTAGGTCACATATCTAGAAAATGGAAAAGTCAGGATTTGAATTTGTATTTTCTGGCTTCAGAAGCCATACTCTTTTTTTTTTTTTTTAGTACCAGGGCTCAAGCTCAGGTCCTTGCATTTGCGAGGCAGGTGCTGGAGCCACTGAGCTAAACCTTGGGCCCCAGAAGCCATATGGTTTTCGTATTTCACAAAACTGAAATCTATAGCTGGGTGTGGTGGCACATACCTGTAATCCTATCATTCAGGAGGCTAAGGTAGGAGGTTTGCCCCAAGTTCAAGGCCAGCCTGGGCTACATAGTGAGCTCATGGCAAGCTTGAACTACAGAGCAAGACCTTGTCTCAAAACAAACAATCAAACAAACAAACACTGAGATCTGAAAAATGTCAGCTCTAGTACCAGTTAATGATAATACAATTAAACTGGTCAGAGCAATGCATGATCAAATCCCAGCATTTGAGAGGCTGAGGCAGGAGGATTGCTGGGGGTTCAAGGCCAGCCTGGGCTACATAGTGAATCCATAGCCAGCCAGGAATACAGACTGTCTGTCTTAAGACAAACAAACAAACAAACAAAAAACCCCAATTTGCCAGGGATTTAGCTCAGTGGTTTGGTGGCCTGCCTTGCAAGCGCAAGGACCCTAGTTTGATCCCTGGTACAAAAAAAAAAAAAAAAAAAAAAAAAAACACAATAAAAAAAATAAACTTTTTTTTTTTTTT